GTGCAGTTACAGGTGAAGTTATTAACACCATCAACACACTTTCCATTAGCACATGGAAGAGAGGCACAATCATTGATGTTAGTCTCACACTTGATGCCTGTGAACCCTGAAAACACAATCAATTATACACATATATATGAATACTCAATGACAAAACCTGTTAAAACCAAGGATAGACTAATATTTGGAACATATTCCTTACTAAAAAGGTATGATTTTATGAGAAATCATAATTACAACATGGAAAAACATTGCAACTTCTCCATTATTATACTATAGCTACTGTAAGTACTTACCCTTTTGACAAGTGCAGATGAAGCCATTACTGGTATTGCTGTCCCTGTGGCATGTACCATCATTAAAACAAGGTGACAAATCACAAGGATTAAATGACGAATCACAGTTCCTTCCTGTCCATCCTGCAGGGCATGTACATGTGTAGTTGTTCCTGTCAAATGATTCCTTACACACTCCTCCATTCTTACATGGTTTGKCATCACAAAGTGAACCAAGAAATGTGTCACAGTTCTYCCCASTCCAYTGTGATCCACAGATGCATWTATAAGAATTGATGCCATCAACACAAGTACTGAATGAATGACAAGGATTTCCACTACATTCATTGATGTTCACTTCACAGTAATATCCAGTGAAACCAGAATCACATTCTGCAGAATTAATTTTTAGATCAATTAGTCAATAATAACACACTGGTACTTTGACTGTGCTAGAATAACAAAAAACATACTGATTACTGCTTTTTTGATATTCTGCTAACTTAGACATTTCAAAGGGCTTGTCATGAATTGGATTTGTAGTGCTGCCAGCCGAGAACATAAAAGGTACCAACTGATTAGTTTTGATTGACAGCAGCGATAAACCAAATTTCAGCATGCAGCTTGAAACTACAGAGTTCACAGAATATGGAAAACCAAAGTAATTTAAAGACAACAAGGAACAAAATTCATGTGGACTAAACAGCTTTTGTGTATCTACTACTCATTTATAAATAAGAATAACTTGATACTTTATATAATTTTCATAGCACTCACTTTTCCTAGTGCAGCCTGCTTGAGAATCCAGTGGACAYCCTGCTTGCACATTTGTTGCTCCTTGTGACATAACAAGATGAATATTTCTTCCACTCTCAATACAGCCAACAAATCCCTTAATTGAACTAGTATTACTGAAGTTACCACCAGCATACATGGGTCCACTTCTCGTAAAGTTTAATATATCTTTAGGCACTACTGCAGAGTAAATGTTTGGTCCAACTATTTTTATGGTTGCATTCACTGATGAGCTGCCTGGATCAAAACTCACTGTATTTATGTAGTTTTTATCAAGTTCATTGCCAGCATGAACTGAGCCTTCAACTCCATGAACCTTCCATTGTAGTGTCAAGCGACTTGGGGTAAAATGGGGTGGGCTGACAGATATGTTATWGTTTACAGTGCCTGGACTGACTCGTAATAAAACATAATCATCTCCATCTCCTCCTTGATACAATAAARCACCACCTTGACATGTCCTGAAGGTAAGGTCAAATCCTTGTTTAAGAGGAATGGTTGCAGTTGTCACTTGCATGAATGATGTTTCATTGAAGAAAAATGTATCTCCTGCCTCCAAATGGCCAATACACATGTATTCTATAAAATAACAAATGAATAGGATTGTCAACCAGTACTAACATATTATTACAATACACATGCATTCTGTAAAATAACAAATGAATAGATTGTCAACTAATACTAACATCATATCATCTTACTAAGTGCAAGGAATAATTGAAGCTGCATGAAATAGTTGYCAAATACAGAGGTGGCAAGAAAGACTAAAGTATGCAGTACATACATGTAGGGTTGTGAAAGGCTGAAAAGGTTAAGTGATAGACTGAATGTAGAAAAAAAATGCATTTGCAGGGCTTAAAATAATGGAATTTGATCAYTGGCCAAATTAGTTTTAGACCCTGTCCACAGTCACACATTCAATATTATTAAGCGCACACTTTTATCAACGAATCCTATCCAACCCGCACACAAACAACCATCATCTTCCTATACTAAAACAGATCAGATAGGAACACACCTTGTGACACCAGCATTTTCAAAAGTATTGTTTTATGTCATGCACAAGAGAAGACCTAAACACTGTTTCCAAAAGTATACATTTATGGTGAGTGTTTTCATTATTTAGGTGCTGGCGCACTGAAGAGTATGCATCTATGAATGAAAATGTAAACCTTTGTTAGCTTTGTCATACTAAGCTAAGGCCCACTGGTCAATATTCCAAATGAGTGGCAAGGCAAAGATTTGTCCAGACAAGTTC